GGAGGCAGAACCAAGGTCAGAACCCCCTCCTCGCTCCCCATCCCAGCATCCTACTGCCAAATCAGTTGACTTAGACTCTGCAGGACTTTGTATGTTTGTTCATTTGTTTTTAAGGAGAAACCTGGGCATTTTAGAGGAGACTTTTTTTTTTATATAAGAGCATAGCTCGTTAATTGGCTGATTGCTAAGAACTCTGCCCTGAGCTACATACAAAAGGTCCAGGAGAGGTGACCCCTGCCCTCAATTTGTCTATAAAATGCACTGCTCCAGCTTCTGGGAGGATAAAATTAGAATCTAGTGTTCTCTGCAAAAAGCCAGGGCATGTGGCCATTGTGACATCCTGGCTGCTTCAGAGTAGATCCCAGGGTGGGTGGAGGGGCCTGTTTTCAGAGGCTTTTGAAATCGCTACAGGTCCAACATATCTCCCAGTCAGGCTCTGAAATGCCTGGCTTTTCAGGGGCACCCCCTGGTTGGCATTCCCTGGTCACCTTCATGCTGACCACACCAAATGCTACCTAGTGTGAAGGTGGTAAACTGGCTCTTTGCTGATGAGCAGCCCAAGGACCCGTTGTTTGTAGGGTAAGGGTTAGGGAGGTCAGTGCAGGTCGGGAAACTGTAAGGACCAACTTCCCCTCTTGACAGTCTCTCCGTGAGCCGGCATTGGCAGACAGATTCATGTCTCCTTTATCCCAGCACAGAGCAAACCCAGTGCCCAGAGACAGGATACGTCAGCCCTGGCCAGTTTTCCAGATTAAATGGCAGGTTAAGAGTCCCTGCTTGCACCCGATCTGGGATGCCAGCCCGATCAGGAACAGCCTCGCCACATTCAGACAAGGCGTGCACCTCAGACCACACACCAAATCCTGCCTCTGCCTTTTATTTTCTGCATGACCCTGACCCTTCACCTCTCTAGGCCTCCGTTTCTCCATCTACAAAATGGGAATCACCCCACTGACCGCCCAGGGCTCTTGTGAGAATTATATGAGGCAAGTCGGAATTTGTCGAACCCCACGGAGGACTCATCAGCCAGCCAGCCAGCCAGCCATCCGCCCATCCATCCATCTGTCCATCCATTTGGCATTTGTTTATTAGCGCCATTTAGCATTTGTTTTATAGAGCCCATGGAGGACTCATGAACCAGCCATCCATCTGTCTGTTTATCCATCTATCCATCCATCCTTCCATCTATCCATTTGTCATTTTATTATTTTACTCTATTGCTAAGAAAGTTGTAGACAAGTCAAGGCTCCCTGGCCTCCTGGAGTTTACATTCTAGTACAAGGAGACCAACAAAAAAGACCTAAGACCATAAATAAGCTCATTTCAGAAGGGTGCTAAGTACCATGAAGTAAATAAAACAGGGCTAATATGACAGAGTCATGGGGGTGGTGATATTTGAGCTGGCTCATGGGTCACTCTATACCTGGGTCAAAGTAGGCCGGAAAGCTCCAGGGTAAAGGAGGGAGCCTAAAAGCAGTAGCTTGACTCACGTCTGCTGTGGGATCTTGGTCAAGCTACTTAACTTTTGGGGCTCAGTTTCCCCATCTGTAAAATGCAGACAAAAGCATCTCTCCCATGGAGTAGTCATGAGAATTTAGTGAGATAATATATGTAATACATATAACACTTCCCACTTGGCATTCAATAAATAAGAATTCTTAAATTCTATAAAAATGGACAGTACTAATCAGAGACATCAGAAGAACCACCTGCCTCACCCAGGTGTTGTAGGGTCACAGGAGTCCCCGGCTGACAAAGTGGACACTTTGACCCCAGCTCACGGGAGGGATTTTTGGAGTATTTGCTGTTTGTGTTCTATCCCTGCCCCTTGCTGTTTCCACTCAGCCTGTGACTCCGTGGGTTCAGGACCAGCTGGAGGACATGCTCTCTCTCCCACCTGGAGTTAGTACCTAGGCCCCCGAATTCAGGTCGCTCGCCTCTCCTGTCCTCAGGGACAGCCTGGGGACAGGAGAGGGTGGTGTCCACTTCCTAGCTCACATCCCAGGAAGATGAGGAGACCAGGGATGCGTCCCTCTACCTGGCACGGATCCCACCAGTTATTCCCATGGTGGGAGCATGTGTTCAGTTTGGTTGCTTTTAGTTTTTTCGCTTTTTTATTTGGCAATAGTGGTAGCTTTACAGAAGAGCCGTGACAACAGCCCGGCGAGTCCACATGCGGCGTCCCCCAGGGCTGATATTTCACATGGTACCATGGTACCTGGTACCATGGCCCAGGATGGAAACCAAGGGATCGCTTCTCACAAAGTCTGGAGAGGGTGGCATGCATATCAAGGAGCCCTGGTACCTCAGTGGTTCCTGAGGCCACTTCCCGGTCTGTTTTCACGGGTCCCTCCTGAGAAATTGAGGCTGCCTCTACCTTTGCTGCCCTGAAAGACACCTAGACTGACACCCAGAGAGGCGCATTTCTCAGCAAACACAGCAGGCAGAGCCTGGAACCCTGGCTCCCAATCCTTTCTGGATGCAGTGGGGGCTTACCTGGGGCCCCACACTCTCTGGCAGGCCGGGGACACAGCGTCTCAGAGATGCATCGTGGCCGAGGGCGGCAAACTCTTTCTTGTCCTCTCTTGTCCCCTGGAGAGAAAAACAACAGGGCAGACATTCCCTGGGTTCCCTTTATTCCAAATAAAGGTCTCAGAAGACCTGGCTGCTGAGCAGTAGCCCTTGTGACCCTGTGGCTGCCACAGCCAGGACCCCACAGTGGGGAAGCCATGGAGAACAGGGGCAGAGGAGCTCATGGTGGGAGCCGAGGGCCTCCTGGCCACCAGCACATCCCTTCTGATGATCTCCCAGTGCTCCCAAGAAGCAGCGCTGACTTTTCTTCCTTTTATGATTGAGGACGGTAAGGCTCAGAGGCCAGGTGTTTGTCTAAGGTCACACAGCCCATGCGCGGTGGAGCCAGACTGGGGGCTCAGGCCTTTTCATGGCACAAGCCCTATCATGCGAGACACCAGCCCAGCATGGCTACTGGGTCTTTCCCAAATCCACCCCATTGTTTCCTGCCTTCTGAGCCTGCCCGTGAAAAGCCACCGCCTATGACCCCTTCCCCATTCTCTGCTTTCTCCTGTGGGAATCCTGCACCTTCTCATGAGACTCTTTCAGAAGCCATCTTCCCTCTGAAGTTTTGCTGACACCTTAAGTAGAGGGCACCTCTTCTCCCTGTGACAGCGAAGTCTCTGGGCCTTTCATCCATTCACAAATGCACGTGTCAGGCTTGGAGGCAGGTGGTGGGACAGAGCAGGAAACGAGGCGAGTGGGCTCTGAAGCTTTATGAGCCAATGGGAGGCAGATAATGAATGAATAAGCAAGAACATGTTCACAAGTATTTCGAGAGTGGTAAGTGCTGTGAATAGAATAAAAACTGGTGCTAGCAAAGAGGATCACAGTAGGGGAGAGTCACTACTTCCACCAGAGTGGTCAGAGAGGCCCCAGGAGGAGTGACATCTGAGCAGGGACCAGGTGAGTGAGAAGAAGGTAGCTGTGGAAAGTCTGAGAGCACTGCAGGCAGAGAGCACAGCAGGTGCAAAGATCCTGAGGTGGGAATGCCCTTGACACACTAGAGATTCAAACAAAAGGCCAGCAGCATGGAGCATGTCCTGCCAGGTACCGTCTCTTCCCTGACTAGACCCCAAAGTTCCTTCAGGGCAAGGATCAGCTTTGGCTCCCTTGTGTCTCCTCTTCCCTGGTAGGGGCCATCCCTTTGTTCATTTAGGTGGAGCTGGATTCGGTGGTAGGACACTGGATGTCCCCCTAGTGCTGACACTGATCTCTGCCATCAATTAATATTCAGCCAAGCAGGGCAGGGAGATGCTCCTGGGGTGGGAGGGGCAGGTGAGCCCACTGTGGACTCGAAGGTAAGCCCTGTGGAGAGATCTGGACCCCAGACCTTGAGTCCCACCTGACCCCTTCATTACCCCGGAGGCTCGAAACGTCACTTCTTCTCTGGGCCTCGGTTTCCCCTTTCATAAAATGGGACTAACTCCCAGTTTCCTGAGTCAATGAGCTGTGTGAGCTGTGTGAGTCAATGAGCTGTGTGAGACAGGGCCCAGCTCATTCTGAGCGCTGTGCACACTCACCTGGCTGACCTGCGTGGAGATGTCACCTGCTCAGGTCTCTCCAGAGTGTTGCTCAGCCCTCCGAGGAGGAAGAGCACACATTGGTTGGTTCTTGAACCACATTGCTCACCAGAATCACCTTTAACAACTAAAATAACTTCTCCCTGACCCCAGGCCTCCTAAATCAGAAATCCTAGGGCAAGGGCCTGGGACTCTGGGTCTTCTTAGATTCTGCTGGTGATCCTGGGGGGCAGCTGAGGAACAATTAGATGAGGAGCAAAGGAGGAGCTCAGGGTCCCACGAGGCTCAGACAGAACTGGGTGTGAACCCTGGCTCTGCTAGTTACTGGCTGTGTGGCCTTGTAAATCCTGCTGGACTATGAGCCTCAGCTTCCTCATCTGTAGAATGGGGATAATGATCACATGCGCATTACAGGATCATTGTCAGAGTCGAACGGAATCTCGAATATCAAGTGCTTAGAATAGTTGCTGGCATGTGATAAACATTCAGATGATTGCTGCTATCATCACTGTGGTTATTATTAGGAATTTGCAGGTGACGTGACATCATGAAGCAAAAGAGATGGCAGGCTCATTAAGAGAACACTTATCTGGATGAGCACCGACCAAGTGACTGAGTAGCGTATGATACGCCTGAAATGAATTGTACAGCCCACACGTAACAGCGTCAGTTCGCTACACTGGAATGAAAAGTGTTTTAAAAGTAACACAAAAAAGAGAGGTGGTAGGCTCACCATTCCTCATTCATTCATTCATTCTCCCACACTCACTCATTCCCTCACTCTAGGGCTGCAGCAGGTGAGAGACCCAACAGGAAGCGCCGTGCGCGGCCCAGTGATCAGGCCGTGGTGCGTCCTCCCACACTGTTCACCTCTGACTCACCTCTCTGTGTCCTCTTCTTTTGCAGAATTCTCCTCCCTGGTGGCCGAAAGCTAAGAGGCTCTGACTGCCCCAGGTCCTCCACCTTTCTGCCCCAACCACCCAATTTCAGATCCTCTTGATGCCCTTCCTGTGTTTCTGTCCAGTGTGTTTATGTTATTTTTTACTCTCCCCGTCCCCTGTGGCCCTCAAATGACATCATTCTTCTGAAAAAATGCTGGAGAAAAAATAAAGGCTGTACCAATCGGATTCGACTGCTCGGGAGGCCCCAGGCCTGGTGGGGCATGGAGCCTGCCTTGGCTCTCCAGACACACCTGCACAGGGGCAGGGCAGGATTTAGGCCAAGAATGATAGGAAGGGAGGGAAATTTACTGAGCCTCCTCAGCCTGTGGTACTGAGAATGGCCCTGTGCATGGGTTGCCCATGAATCCTTGAAACTACACAGAAGGTAGGTGATGAGACTCCCATTTTACAGATGCAGAAACTAAGTCTTACAGAGAAAAGTGATGTGTGTAAGCCCATACCAGCCAGGACTTGTGATCAATGGATGGATGGACACCCTTTAAGACTCTATTAGAAATGACCAAAACTCAACACAGAGTGACTTAAGTAAATAAGGAAGAAAAAAAAAGGTTTGATTATGCCCAAAGAGTCCAGAGGCAGGTCTTCAGGAACAGCTGGATCAAGGGGCTCAAGTGATATCAATAGAATTAAGTCCTTCTTCCCTCATCTCCGAGCACCGTGTCCCTTTGTGCTGGATTCATTATCAGGCAGGCTCTCCCTCATGATGGCAAGATTCCTCCAGCAGCTCAACGCTAGTACCAAAAAAAAAAAAAAAAAAAAAGCTTCACTTTCCCAATCACTCCATCAGAAGACTCCAAACTTAGTTGCATTAATACCAGCAGCTGATGTTTATTGTGGACTTCCTGTGTGCCTTTACATGATTCCATCTGGACAACAGCCCTAAGAGGGAGTACTATTACTGTCCCCTTTGTGCAGGTGAGGATACAGAGGCACCAGAAAGTTATCTATTTGCCCCAAACTGCACTATGAGTAAATAATGGAGCCAGGGTCCCCAACCCTTGGCAGCCACCACCAGAACCTGTGTGTAACCAACCAGTCACTATGACCTGAAGGCTAGGGGCCCTGATTGGTGGGTTCTGGGTGGTGCCCATCTGGGGAGACAGGTGGGGTCAGTCACCTGTCCACAGGAGTGAGGGGGAGGCTGGGGGGACCAGGGAAGCATGCCAGCAGGATGGCTTCTGCTCTTTCCCATGACAGCCTTGGGGAGGGAACAGGTGCGTGTTCTCCCTCCCTCACATCAGTCTCCAGACTGCACACCCAGCAGTGCCACCCTCCCCTTGTCCTGGGCCCTACCCTGTCATCAAGGGCCGGGCTATCAGAGAAGGTCCTCACTGAGGGTGAGGCCGGGCGGCAGGCAGCCCCAGCAGGTTTCAGGGCAGAGGAAGGTGAAGAGGGGCCCCATGTAATGCAGGAGGAGTGGCTGGGCTGGGGAGCTGCAGCGTCTCCCCGCAAACCAGAGCAGGGCCCCGTGAGGACAGGCCGGTCAGCAACAGTGCCGACCACCCCTGCCTGCTGGCCTGAGGTGGCCGTCAGTGCCTCTCCACTCACAGCTGAATGACAGCCCACATATCACAGTTCAGACTCAGGGCAGCACGTGCCCCAGCGGCCAAGCATGTCTGAAAGCAGGGCTGTTCAACCTCCGAGGGGACACAGGACATTGGCTCCAGGGTCAGGATTTGTCTGGGGCCATGAGCAGGACAAGGACAGGATGGCTTCCCCCAGGGGAGGGCACCTTTCTGGGGGTGAGGAGTACAGCGGTGTTGTGTGTGGGGGAATGTAATGACAAGTGACGCGACCCCGGCCTTCTGTCCCCCAGCCTCCTCCTGCCTCCTACTACAGAGCTCTAGATTTCATCCATTCGCCTCACCTTCATCACCACTGCCTGAATCCGGGCCTGATCCCAGACTAGGGCAGGGGTCCCCCCCCAGAGGCCTGTGACCAGGGTGTCACATTCCTGAAGAGCCTCCAGTCCAAACTTTGGGCATCTCTTCTAATGAGACCATAGCTCCAGGTGCTGTTGGTAACTCAGGTTTGCCATTTCTATACACTGGGACCCTTAACCACATGGAAGTCAGCTGGCTCCAAGCTGGCTCTGAGAGCTGCTGGGGGCAGCTCCCCTGGCCCCTGGCCCGCCACAGTGGCTTCCTAGCCGGTGTCCTGGCCTCCCCTCCCCTCCTCAATCCACTCTCCACCCAGAGCCCCCGAGGGTTCTTTGTGGACCAGATCAGATCTGATTGTTCTGCCTAAAACTGTCCCGTGACTGCCCCATCCATAGAACAGAACCCTGAGTCCAAGCACAGCCTTCCCTGTCCATGGGGATGGCCCAGCCCCCCTCTCCCACCCATCATCCCTCATCTCTGCCTTCTCCCTCAGTCCCCCACCGCTCCCTTCCAAGCTGCTCTCTTAGCCTGGACCTTTCTGCTCTCCCTGCCATTCTCCCTACCTCAGTGGAACTGAGCATGGGATACCCATGAATTCTTGAAACCACCCATAAGGTAGGTGATGAAACTCCCATTTTACAGATGCAGAAACTAAGTCTTACAAAGGAAAGTGATGAGTGTAAGCCCACACAGCCAGGATGTGTGGATAGATGGATGGATGGATGGATGGATGGATGGATGGATGGATGGACACCCATTAAGATTCTTTGTTAGAAATGATCAAAATCCAACACAGAGTAACTTAAGCAAAACAGGGAGAAAAAACATCTTCTCGGGAAGCCCCCCCCCCCGCCCAATGGGCACCCCCAGCCAGGGCTACAGCATCTGAGCTTCTCCTGCAGGTGAAATGGGGAAAACAGGTATGAAAACCTAATTCACACCCATGTCCACCAGAGATCATAAGATGCCCAAGGTCATGTCGGGGGAGGAGGGGTGTTCCCTGTTGGATCCCAGAGCCTGGTGCACAAAAAGATGCCAGGATGCAGATGTGGCCACAGAGGCCAAAGGTGGCCAATGACTGGCTCGAGGCCACAAGCGCAGAGCCTAACAGGGACCTGACCCCAGCCTCCTGCTTTCCCGCCCTGCCATGGGGCTTTACCCACAGAGATCTTCCACCCCAGCAAGGAGTGGGGCACAGGGGACATCCTCTGAGCCCCGCATCCACCAGCCTCCAGCTAGAGTCACCCTGACACCTGGTCACCATCCTCTTCATTTGCTCAGCAGCTCAACACGACTCCTCCACCACTCCTTCTTATCTCCATCTCCCTTCTGTCCTGGAGAGGCTGGGGACCCCGAGAGAGAGAGCTCAGGGCCCGGAGGAGGAGCCTGAGTGGCCTTTGATAAGAGCAGGGAGCAACCAGCATGCAGGCAGAGGGCTGAATGATGGATGGAATGTCCCAGAGTTCCCAGAGGATACAGATAAGTGGGAGGAGAGTGAGCGAGAAAAGATCAGAGGTAGAGAAGACTGGGTGGGAAAAGTTGGGGCTGCGGACTCTCTCCTCTTCCAGGCAGGGGCTTGGAGAATAGGAGGGTGCTGGGCTCCAGATATGGGGGTGGACAGAGATCCCTTCCAAATCTGCCTCTTCCTCCTTTGAGCACCTACTATGTGCCAGACATTTTGTATATACTGCCTCTTAATCCACACCTTAACCCTCCAAGGAGGGGAGCAGTTTCTATTTTACAGGTAAACAACAACTACAACAAACCAGGTTCAGAGTGGTTAGGGAACTTGTCCAAATTACACAGCAAATAATAATAATAATAATAACAAAAATAACAAACATGGACTCACACAGTCAACAAATAATTTTTGAGTGCCTTACTTGTGGCCGACACAGCTAAGCATTGTGGAAGCATGGCCTTGTTGGATCATCATAGTAACTGCTAGACCTCTTTCCAAAGTTTGGCCTTCTGGCTCTGCCTCCCCCAGTGAAGATCCTCTACCCCCAGTGCCTCTGCTGCCACTCTACATGGACAGTTAGCCTGGAAAGATTTGAATTGGTTGAATCTGATATTCTGGTTTATCTAAGAATCAGGAGACCGTTTATGAGGGGCAGCTCAGCATTTGGGACAGAAGTCCAGTGCCCTCTGACCACTCTGCATCCTCCTCCATCAGTCCAGTCAGAGAGCCTGGACCCCAAACCATGTCACAAAGGGCTCTCACCTGACTTACCTCTGTTTCTGCTAGGGAAGTAGTAGAAGTATCCACATTTGGGGTTTTATGGTCAGGTCTGGCACTCCTAAGGGCCAAAGGCAGGCTCCCCATGGGAGGTGGCACTCAAGCCAGGGTACCCTCATCATCGCCATTTTGTAGATGAGAAAATGGAATGTAAGTAGCTCAGCTGGAACTCCAGAACCCGTTTGCTTGACCCCACTCTTTGCCTGATGGGTGACAGAGCCAGGATTCAAGCTATGAGGAACCTGGATTCAGAGCCCACATTCTTCTCCTACTTCCCCTATATCCTCAGGCTGAAGAAGTCTCTCTTTCTCAGGGAGGTCATTGTTTCCATTCTATTCAGGCCTTCAACTGATTAAATGAGGCTCACCCACACTAAGAAAGGCAATCTGCTTTACTCAGTCTATTGATCCAAATGTACTGTCATCCAGAAACACCCTCATAGAAACACCCAAAAAGATGTTTGACCAAATGTCTGGGCACCCCATGGGCCATTCAAGTTGACACATAAAATTAACCACCACAAACCGCAATATATAAACAGACAAATGACTTAAAAGACATTTCTCCAGAGAATATATACAAATGGCCAACAAGCATGGGAAAGATGCTCAATGTCATTGGTCACAAAGGAGATGAAGATCAAACCACAATGAGAAACCCTAGAATGGCTGTAATCAAGAAAATGGCAGAAATGTGGAGAAATTAATACTCTCATGTATCGATGGTGAGAGCATAAAATAGTACAGTCACTGCAGGAAACAGTTTGGTGGTTCCTTGAAATAGTCGACATGGAATTTCTGTATGCCCCAGAAATCCACCTCTAGGTATATATCCAAGAAATGAAAGCAGGTGTCCATGCAGTCACTCATATACAAGCATGCATAGCAGCATTATTCGTAACAGCCAAAAAGTGAAAACAACCCAAATGTCCATCAGTGAATGAACAGATAATCAGAAGGTGGTACAAGGGCACATTACTCAGCCATAAAGAAGAACAGAGCACTGACCCACGCCACAGTGTGGATGCACCTTCCAAACATGATGCT